ATCCCAAATTGTAGATTCTAAGCGAGAATAGTGTTACACTACTATGATATAACTGATGGTTTATAGCTAATGACCAATGGCTGCAGTGGTTTCCTTCATATTGGCACTCTGTCCTCTCAGAGCTCTGAGCCTCCACAAAGCAAATCTACATGTTTAAAGTCACCATATTTAAAACTTCACAGCTACAAACGTGGCCTGGTCTTTCTACAGTCAGCGCCTTCCATGCATTTATAAATCCCAGGCTTACAGACTTTTCCCCTTTTACCTAATAATAAACAATAATAATATTACACTTCATTTACAAACACCTTTCAAAACACTCAGGGGCCCTGTACAGTAAATGAACAAAAACCAAGTAAAAGAGCACTAAAAATAAAGAAGTTAGAAGTAGACAGTGCACATGTGATCACAGGGGGAAAGTAGTTTTAAACAGATGAGTTTTGAGCTTTGAGCAATTGCATACAGCTGGAAACAATATTCCTTGCATTAAAGTGTTCAAACTTTAGCTCTGAAACTGTTTGCATTACAAGACAAGCCATCACCACCAGTCTGTAACATTTAAAAGAGCGCCACAAATGTCCACAAATCTCTCAAAGATCAGGCAGCAGTTGCATGCTTATCCTTCAAACACATGACCAGACAAACGCCAGGAAGCCCAAGTGTTTCACATTCTGCTTAATAGCAGATACTGTCAGAAGGGCCCACATCACTTCACTTAGATGAAACTAAAGATTTATAATGCTACTGTGAGACACTGCTTTGCACACGGGCATGCCCAGGCAGATGTCTGAGCCAGACTGTGTTATGGCTATATGAGACTAAACAATCTGGTTGAGTGGTGGGTGTGTGCAAAGCAAATCTGGAATCTGAAAATCTGGGCAATGATTTGGTAAGAGGGGGAAACTTATAGATCCAAAACTTTCAAACTGAGGCGCTGCTGAGGTATTTATCTCAGACATAAGAGTGGGTCCATTTCCTTTTTGTTCCTTTTAAGCGCTTAAACAGAACAGGCAATCTCCAGCCTGGTTAGACAGGTGCTGAAAACTGGCCTAATTCTATTAGCATCTCTATCACTCTGACCATTGCAGCCTTTAGGCCCATTTCTTACCTAAATACTCTGATTACATGCATTCTTAGACCGGCATGTTTCTATTGAAGCGCAGAGATGGAACATGGAAAGACTGTCATGCAAACACCTTTCTTTCAAAAGATTTACAAGTATACTAAATGATCAACTCTTGGTGTACACAGTGCATGTAGCACTTCTCTTAAATCCAAGTGATACTTTGGTTTTGGGAAAATGTCAGCGTGTTCTATCCATTACTGACCAAAATACATTCTTTAAGGTTAAAACAAACATCTGCCAAAATCTGACCTCCTCTCCTGTATTAACATACGAACCTACTTGCATGTAAAAATTTTGGTTAATCTAAACGGATCGTGTATTCATATTGTTATGGTTTAAAGCTTATTATACAATCTCAAGAAAAGGCTTCAAAAGGCAAAACTGAGCATGTTGGTGGTCTTGTGTTGATTTCAAATTTACCAATTTTCCTTTCGAGACAAAATATCCTTCTGTGGAGTGTGTATGTTAAATACTGCGTGACTATAATTTGTCTTTCTGTATGGCCTTGGCGTTATGAATGAGGCTGAGTGTGTGTATGTGGGAGATTTAAAAAAAAGAAAGATTGCAAGATACCGAGATGAAAAGGTTCAAGGAGTAAAAGGCAAACTCTGTCTATAGAGCTGTGTCAGCATGTTCCAATTACTGCAGCTTTGAGGCAGAGTCCAGACGGACGGTTCTTTTGGCCCATCCTGAGAGCAGGAGGAGACCAGAGAAAGATATTTGAGGGAAAACGGAGGGTGGTGTACTGAGAGAAGCACACGGTCGGCGGGGAAGAGAAATCGGGTCAGAACGAGGGTGGAATGGTAACAGTTACATACAGTATTAGAGAAAGGCTGAAAATGAGAGACAGAGGCCACAAACAAGTCAGAAGGTGAGAACACTGAAGCATGAAAGGTTACAGAGAGGAAAGGCAGCACGCTACAGTGAGCCCTTGTTAGAGATGATCAATCAGCTACACTGAGCTGAGTTAACAAGCGGGGGCCTGGCCTGCAAATTCAGTTCCTGCCCTAATAATCCACTACACACACACACACACACACACACACACACACACACACACACACACACACACACCA